AACAATGACTCTTCAGATGTTTACAGTTTTGTCTACAGTTAGGGCTGGGTCTTACCGGTGGGCCAGTTGGGGCAGTTTTGGCCCAGTGGTTACTGTACCACAGTCCAGAGTTGAAGTCATCTATCATGCCCAAATTTTCTCGTAGACCTTGGGGAGCTACTGCGAGGATTTTGGGACTCTCTGTCATAATAAGCTTACATATGTTAAAATGCCATATTCCACAGATCTCTGACAAGCTTGAGGGCCAGCATATGAGTTACTCTTTGTCTATCTTTAGTTATCTGCTCAAATTGTATTATGTAAAACAAAACGTTTTAGAAATATGCTCTAATTCTGTCATATTCCTTAGATAAGTGTTTTAGGACTATATCCATTTCAAGTAGATCTACACAAGCAAACTTTGTAGTTACTCATCCTAGACTTAAAGTTGAAAACATAAACAAGAGACTAGGTAAGCTCAGTCTTGTAACAAACTTCAGTCATTAGTATAACTTTAAATATATTTCTGAACTAAAATCAAAGAAAAACTTTCAATCCAATACAGTTCATAGAGGGGCTGGCAAATCTTGCTGATCCTACCATATCATATTATTAAGACTGAATGGCAAAAAGCTTAAAGGACAAAAGTTTCACTTTGCACTAAATAGAGAACTGAACAGAGATCTTTAAGGTAGCCCTTAAAGACGACTGTAAGACCACAGCTCCACCTTCTTTATCCCTGAACTAACATGGCAGCTAGCCATGTGTTTTTACAGGCTGTGGCTGGCAATTTAAAATATAACCATTAGGTGTCGCTAATGACACTGGGGAGCATTTACAATTTCCCATAACCAAGTTTTAACATTGTAATCAAATAAGTTTTAGAACCAACTGCATAATAGAACAGTATAAAACAATTTTAAAACTGTACTTGAACTCTTCTGGCCACACCAAACCTATCAGCAAGAAACAGCATTAATCCATTCACACAGGAACTGGCAGTCAGGCACACACTTCAAGTCAGCCTGTTAATCTGAATAGACCTTCACAAACCAGAGCTGAATCACACATAAAGCATGCTGCAAAAACACAAACCTGTAATATATATAATCCATAGAGACATTATTATAAAATACCTGATTATTATAAAACTTTAAAATGTGTCATAGCCTTAAACATATTTTTAGAAGAAATCTGTTTTTGCAATATCAAAATAAAGTACCATTTTTAGGAATACCAATTTAAAATAATACTTGTCTTCTTAGTCTAAAAGGAGATAGGATGATAAATAGAATTCATCATGACTAAGAGGCTCTGTAATTTTTTTCTGCCCTACACCATACCATGTGGCAATTTCAAGATGGCAGAGTCACATCACATGACGGGCCACATGGTTGCTTTTTAAAAACATCTGTGCTTCTAGGCACACATACATTTGTTCTAGACAAGAGTTTGAATTTAACCTTTAATCATATCCAATAACTGTTAATCTGTAACCAAAGCGTACAGATCATGTTACCCATTTATGATCAGGCAGAATAAACATGTAATGGCCATACATACATTTAAACAGACAGACACACTATTTTTAACTCCATCCAGCTGTAATTTCAAGCACTTTGGTATCTCTTAAATCTACAAGGGAGTTTGGGATTTGCTGGCAGTGTGTCCAGGGGTGTCACACGATACAGCCATCCCCTGGCATGCCTCACCGTCTCTGCCCTCTCATGTTGACCCCGGAAGAGTAGTAGGCACCACCTCATGGAAGTTTACCATTGCCATTTTCCCCCCCAGAAGGCAGGCTTGCACAAGTGGAGCTCTTCTAAGCAGTGAGAACTCCCTCCCTCTGCCTTCCAGGTGGAAATGGGCCAATCAACCTGGGAGAGCTCCCTCTGCCCACCCAGCTCTTGGTTGTTCTCTACCTGTCCCGCCCTGAGGCATGCTCTGACCAATGATCAGAAGTGCCCCAGCTTGTAGTGGTGGGATCATGGGGCAGGCAAAGTCACTGTGGTGCACAGCCAGTTGGTCAGCAGCCTACTGAGACCACCATAAGCAAACAAAACCATAAAAGAACAACACAAGAAAACAATGTACTGGTACAACACTGGCAAAGTGAACAGAAGAAGAAAAAACAAAACAAAACTCAGAATAGTGGTCTGTCTCTCAATGGGCCCTCCAACCTGTTCCATTAGGAGTAGCCTGCCCCGAAATCAGGCTCCACCCAATTACACCAGAGCTTGGAAAGGTAGCATGTCATTCCACTAGACCAGAAATTAAAGCAGTTGCAGAGGCGACAAGCCTGGGGTTCTGCATATTATAGCCATACTGTGACTGAGGCCTCCTCGCCTCTGTCACCAGAGCCCATTGAGCATGGCTCGAGCCTTTGATCCTTTTTTAAAAATATGGCCTAAGTTTAGTGAGTTCACTGAAGATTCTAAAGCCTTTACCGTTTCTTCACAAAACCCTTTCCTCTAATTTTCACAATGTCATTTCATAATGCTTTCCTGCTTGTCATGGAGAGACTACATTTGTGTAAATATTGTGCTTCCAGGCCCTTTAACTTTAGACTGAAGTGTGGTTGATAAATCCAGTAATGCTCCATTGAAGAAAAATGATTTTCCCTTTCCCAGCAGGTATTAAGTGAAAACAGCTTTTGGGTTAGAGGTGGGATTTTGTATCTACTTTCTCTTATTGGTGCTGGGATTTTGTCTGAGTTGAACTTGTGTAGGTCTTGTGCATGCTGGGCACCTCCATAGTACAATCTAGAGACGAAAAAAAAAAAGGTAAAGAAAGACAGATAATAGAGTCTTGTATTTCCAATAAGACACTATTGATAATATTATCCTATGCCTAGAATTATTGTTCATTAACTGCTGACAGTCCTTGAAAAAGTGTAAGAAAACTGAAGCTGTGTAAAATAAAATAGAAAGTAGTTAGAAAATTGATTACTTACTGTGTTGATATAAGCTTTGAGGAAATATATGCATTCAAAATCACACCTAGCATTTTGGAGTGGGCCACTACTGATCAATGTGCCATTCACTGAGATGGAATTTAGTGGAGAGAGACAAATAGGTTACAGAAGAAAGAAAAGTAGACAGGTAATAGGTAGGTTTGGAACTATTATTAAGTTTTAGATACCCAAGATGTTCAGTTGACACTGGGCCTTAAGAATATTGTCTGAGGCAGTTCCTGTTTCCCTTTACTAGGGTACCCACTTGGATACTGAGCTGCCATGGGCTCCATCTGAGCAGGGGTTCTAGGTTATATCCATGAATGGTCCTTGGTTGGAGTATCAGTCTCAGAAAAGACCCCTGTGCCCAGATATTTTGGTTCTGTTGCTACCCTTGTCTCTGACATGAACTCAGTGTCTAGCTCTTTGACTGCCACCCTTGGATGGGGGAGCAGCCTTGCCAGGCCACAGTGGAGGACAATGCAGCCAATTCAGATGAGACTGGATAAGCTAGGGTCTGATGGAAGGGGAGGAGGACCCCCTTATCAGTGGACTTGGAGAGGAGCATAGGAGGAGATGAGGGAGAGAGGGTTGGATTGGGAGGGGAGGAGGGAGAGGACTACAGCGGGGATACAAAGTGAATAAACTATAAATAATATAAAAAATAAAAATTAAAAAAGAATATTGTTTGGGTTTCCTAAATACATGAGAATCATCAATATATGGATGACAACAATGCAATGGGGATAACTGATATAACCAAGAAGTGTGTGAACTATAAAAAATAAATGCAGCATTACCTGTAATCCCAGCACTCTTGGAGGCAGAGGCAGGAGGATCTCTGTGAGTTTGAAGCCAGCCTGTTCTACAAAGTGAGTCCAGGACAGCCAAGGATATACTGAGAAATCCTGGCTCAAAAGAGAGAGAGAGAGAGAGAGAAGGAAAGAAGGAAGGAAAGAAGGGAGGAAGGGAAGGAAGGAGAGAGAGAGGGAGCAGGGAAGGAAGGAAGAAAGAAAAAAGACAGAAAGAAAGGAAGGAAGGAAGAAAGAAGGAAGGAAAGAAAGGAGGGAGGGAGAAGTACAGGGCAAGGGTCCATGTAGTGTGAACACTCCAAAGTAAGTGAGGTGCCATAGAGATGGTAGGTTAACCTGGTCAATGCAGTATCTTTGGAAGACTAGATTTTAGAAAACAAGGGGTTTAAACAAGAGAATATTCATTGTATGCGTTTTGCAGAATTGAATTATAGCAATCACTGAAAAATAGTTGTCTTAGAAACATTGTTGAGAATTTTGTACGAAATGGAGAGGTTCAAGTCTGTGTGGTAAGGAGGCTGGAAGTGCAGGGTTGAAAAGGATGACTTTGGAATATTTTGCATGAAAGAAAACTTTAGGTTCTCTAAATGATGTTAATAAAGAACCAGGGAGCTAGGGTGGTGGGGGCGGGGAAGGGGTTGATGATGAGAAGAGTTCATCAAAGGAGAAAAAGGATATAGCATAGCAGACTCAAATCACCAGGGGGTGCTGCTGCTTACTGTTGTCGTTGCTGCTGCTGTTATTTTTTGCTGCAAAATCATGGGAGAAATGATTGGTGAGGAACACAATAAAGTTTTCTTTTTTCTTTTTCTCTTTCTTTCTTTCTTTCTTTCTTTCTTTCTTTCTTTCTTTCTTTCTTTTTTTTTTTTTTACATAGCGAAAGCACAAAGGATTCTTGTCACTGAAATTCTGTTTTGTCTCTGAACAGGTGACATTAAATGCTGAGACTCAGTGGGGAGATAGAGGGAAAAGCTTAACTCCTCATTTATCCTGCTTATTATACTGGCAGATTACTTGTGTTGCCTTTCATCCTCTCGTTTCCCTATATTATAATACAGTGTTCGATGTTATTTATGAGTTGTTGTCCAGACCTAAAGGCAGACGTGGCGAATTACAATCAGAACTACTACTCCCAGAGTGCAGTATGGGTCCTGGGAAGTACGGAATGTTGCGAACGTCTCAAGTCCCGCCCTGTAGCCTGCTCCCATTGGAGGAGAGCTCACGTTCCCAGGAGGCCACGCGTAGGCGGGGCGCTGTACACGGAAGCTTGTGGCGTCAGGTCCCATACATCTCTGGTTTCGGGCAGTGGGCGACTCTAGGAGGACCTGCGTCCCTTGATCACAAGCCCGATTGCACACTAGAGGGTAACTGGACAGGTAAATGGAGTGGGGCATTTTCTGCAGGAGGTGAGGAGACACTTGAGAGATAGAGAGACAGAGGAGGTGTAAACTAGAAGGTGCTAGGGTGGAGCAAAAGGTAAGGCAAGGGTGATTTTGATTTCTCTGTTGTCTACAGTTCTGATTGTTAAGCAGTTGCAGTTTGGAAAAAGTGTATTTCACAGTGCTGAAGAGGTCTTGGGTTAATGTCAGAACGCGTCATTTAGGTTGACATTACAAGATGGGAAAATACTAAGTTTCTCTCACTCGCCTTCTGCAGACTTTTCTGTAGCCAAAAAATCTCTTTCACCCATGTTCACCGACATCACTCTTTGCTTCATATTTTTCTTCTGTCTGTCCAAGCGTCAGTGTGAGATCCTAACCCCCATACACTCTTACCAGTATTAATTGACCTTTCTCTTTTTAAGTTATAGTAGGTAGCAGATCTCCTTTTAAACCTATTTTTTGAGCGTGTTACTGTCTTTTTATTGACGGCCAATATTTACCAAATTGATCATATACATCATTCTTTGGTAATTATAGCTCTGAATCTCATAACCAATGAACTGTCAAGTCTTTTTCTTTAGATTTTATTCATCACACTCAATAATTTGCATCACCATTCTCTTTGGGAAATTTCTTTCCCTTTGAATAGCTATGGCTGGAAGCAATGTAAATTAAAATATTTATTAAAGAATGAATACATACTAGGTGCTCCTTTGAGTGCATGGGACACATTGGTAGCAAACAAGGAATAGGAGGTGACTAATATGGGAAATTACATGTTTGGGGAACAGAAATAAATAGGAATAATAAATCAATATGGTGGTATATGTTGGTTAAGGAAAAACTTAAAAGGTAGTTTGCCTGACAGAATAAAATCCTGTCCTGAGAAATTGAGAGGGATTGGGTTGAACTTCAGATCATTTTCCAGAAACAGTATTTGTGATAGCAACAAGAGTAATCTTGGTCTGTAGCCTGACTTGTCATAACCCCTCTCTCCTTTATAATTTTTCTATCTGTTCCAAGGTTATTGCATCACAATTTGTGGTTTTTCTGCCATTGATTTATTTCCTGCTATATTTCAGAGTAAAGAATTGGTGACTGGATAACTACCAATGAACAGTCTTACCTGAATTAGGGAGAGAGTTGGGTAGTAAAAAAAAAAGAAAGAAAGAAAGAAGGAATTAAGAAAAGAAGGAAGGAAGGAAGGAAGAAAAAGAAAGAAAGAAAGAAAGAAAGAAAGAAAGAAAGAAAGAAAGAAA